TTGCAATAAAGTAGAAGAGAATTTCAATAATTATTTAGTNTAATGGATATATCGTGTTAAAGAGATTCTATTCTTTAGTCATGGCACCTGGACTCTTTTTTTAGTTTTCACGTGTCTTTCCAAGTTCCTGAGGTCTAATTATAGTAGGAAAAGTCCAAAACGTGAGCATAAATACGTTTTTATTTTTAGCAAATTTAGCTATTTGTTAATTTGGGTCTATATGGCCAATAGAGAGGAAATGGTCCCATTTTTTACGCCCACATGAAAGGGGGGGCGTATATTTCCGTCACTTCATTCCGTCGGCCCGTCGGTCCGTCCACAATTGCTCGTAAACACTCTACAAGGCACAATTCTTGAGTGATTTCGATGAAACTTGGTATGGTTGTTTGTAATCACCCAAGGATGAACCCTATTGAAAATCAGACGAATCGAATAAATATTTACTATGAGTTATTGCCCTTGTTTTTGAAACGCTCGTAAAAACTCTCGAAGGTGTAATTCATGACGGATTTTGATGAAACTTGGTATAAGTGTTCGTAATCACCCAAGAATAAACCCTATCGAAAATCAGAAAAATTGAAAAACATTTGGTATGAGTTATTGCCTTTGTTCTTGAAAACGCGTTCAATTTTAGCTCGTAAACACTCTAGAAGGCAAAATTCTTGACGGATTTTAACGAAATGTGGCTTGAGTGTTGTTTATCACCCAACCCTATTGAAAATCAGTAGCCGAATTCCGAAATTAATTCCGTTATTGTAGCCCGTTCCACTATGAAATTTAAAAGACCAGATCGATAATAAATATTAATTTTTAGGGCGATGCTTATGCGACGAAGGAATTTGGTTCATATTTCTTTCCTACTAAGACTAAGAAATCTCGTGTCAGTGCCTGTTTACAAAATCACGTGTGGACTTACGTACACACGTTCCATATAATATTTGGCAAAACTGTAAATAACCATTATAAACTATAAAATATCCTTATCAGTAGGCCTACAATTTCTTTTAATTTTATTTTGTCAGTGTGGGCTTTGTGAAGAAATGCCAACATGAGATTAAAAACAGCCTACGATTTGTGAACAAGAGATTAAATTTTGATAAAGTGGGAAGAGCCTTGAATTATTAACGCAATAAAATAACAACTTGGTTGTATATATATTACAATACCAAGTATTGGCAATTCAAGTTCATAACCTCGTATCAATAATATTATCTATTCGTTTGGTTTCATTCTCATTTGGGCTAATTCCCATTTGAGCTAATATTTTCCCCTTAGGGCTCCTAGCTCGAGCTACCTCTCATTGTGTCATTGGTCCTCGAGAAATATAACTCCGTAGTAAAATTGTTGAAGTTAAGAAATGGTCAATCCATTTCAGGTGTATGTGGCCAAGTGTGACTGGTGTAACAGGTGTGATAGGGAGCCAGCTGTCCAGCTGTACATGAGTTTAGTACCAACACAAAACGAAACCCGAAATCCAAATCAACATTTTCATTTTGGTGTCGCATTGGTTGCAGCTAATGAACTTTTCACATGAAAAAGTATATCAATCATAAGTGAGTAAGTATTTCATAATGAAAAGTGGTACCGGATGCTGGTGGTAATTTGTACCATCGTTTCAAATTCATCCACACGAAACAAAAGACTGGATGAGCTTTCCTCCTTTCTTCTGGACAGAAAATATCCACAAACCCTGATCACAGATGGGATTTTGAAGGCTGAGCAAGTAACTCTACAAGAATTGCGCACAGTTAAACCAAAAGTGAAAGAGGACAACTTACTAGTCTTTGTTTCAACGTTTAACCCGAGAAAACCAGATTTATCAAATACATTTGTGAATAACTTTCCAATTCTTAGAAAAAATCAAAGAATGGAGTCTGTTATTAACAAAATCAAATATATTAAATCAAAAAGACAGCCCAAAAATTTGAAAAGTATTCTGAAAAGAGCCAAGTTCTTAACCCAAGAGAATAACTGCCAATTACTCAAATGTAATGACAAACTCTGCGGGTTATGCAAATATCTGATTGAATGGTCATCTTTTAAATTCTCAACGGGTCAAACATTTACTGTGAAAACTAATATGACAAGTTTGTTATATATGTGATCACATGTTGTAGATACAACGAGCTCTATATTGGCTGTAGAAATAATTTACGGAACAGAATAACCATTCATAGACAACAAATCCGGGATCCTAAAACGAGAATGATTCCGTTGAGTGAATACTTTGATGTCTGTGCAAGGGGAATATCCCCAAATTTTATGGTATTTACATTCTACAAAATGTCCAGCCAAGACAACCTACTAATGGGAATCAGTAAATATTTTATTGAGAAGATAAAGCCTAAATTAAAGGGATTAGTTTGATCTTTATGTATATTTTGTTTATTTTTCTTTTTCTATTAGTGTAAATCCATCATATTAATATATCTCCTAAAGACAATATCATGGCGTCATATTGTTGTTTATTGTATTGTTGCTATGCCTTGAAAATATGAAATTGAAACATGTTGGCAGTAAAAATTAACTATCTTTATCGGCGTTATTGATCTCATTTAACTCTATATAGATTTTTTTTCAGGCTGATAATCTTTGTTTAAAAAGTGCTATAAATATCTGGGTATTGCCTACTGTCTGTGATATCCATGCATAGCCTAGGCCAAAGTTGAATAACAATGTACTCACATTCGTTGTCCATGTTTTTAATTTGTTTCGTTTCATTTTTAAAATAATTTTGATTCCATAATATTGACGTCAACAA